AACAAAAAAAATAAATAACTAAAAAAAAATCTACTCCAATCCCTATGCTTACATTAACCAGCTGGTTTTGTCGTCTCCTCTTCTTTCACAATCTTCTTATAAATAATTTTAGTTCTCATCCTCTTGTATTTCATAAAATAGAATGTTGTATGCTACGTGCTTTTTTCCTACAGAAGTGTTCATTATCATCTCCCGACATCCTTAACTCCTTATTTTTCCACAAAGAACGATAAAATCATCAAGATATTTTTCTGAAGAATAAAAAAAAAAAAACAACACTGAAAGCAAAACTAATCAGTATCCATTTAATTTTGTTCTGGTGTTGCCGAAAGATTTACCAAAAAGCCTTCCATCAGATATTTATGTGGGAAGTCAAAATAGGTAAAATACATTGTAAACAACTATCCAATAGATTTAAAACTCCAGTTTGCATGTGTAATCGTCTAGTAAAAAGGTGAAATTTGGGGCTGCATGATAAGGATAGAGAATCTCAAATTTAGCACAACATCAGAAAAACAGAATAGAATTATTTATGTAACATCCCTAATGCTAAACAATGAGTCAGTAGGGTTAGTGAAAAGACTATCTAAGACAAAACACACACATCATCAGATTGAAACCTCAATAATACAAACCCACTGAACTGAGAAACTGAAGTTGACTATGACACCAAGTACCCAGATATAGATCTAAATCCCATAGGTCATATTTAACCCTACTGTAGTTAGTGAAGATACACAGGATATCTTTTGCACCTTTACAGCCTGTGCCCACCTAAATATACTCCCAGCACTTAATGCTTGCACATTTGCTAAATGTATTATTAATAAAAGTTCTGTAAGTAAGACAACAAAATTCACATTCTTCTACTATTTTCTTAAATGTCATATGAAGTAAAACATATGCCTCCAAAATTAATCTAAAATATGTTACAGGTTTAGACTGATACTAAAAGATCACTGTATCTATCTCAGGCATACAGCTACTGTGACTTCTTACAGGACACAAATTGACAAATAAATATAGACTCCTTTTACTATGTATACTATGTACAAGAAAATCTTCAGTTTTTCAAATGCGCCATCCAACTTTCTCAAATTCAGTATCAATTCTAAATGCTGCTCCACTTCTGATAACCCCTCTTTTAGCTAAGCCGGTTGGTTGGTAGTGATTTGTCAGATAAGTTACACAATACTGTTTCTGCTTCCTGATTAGATAAGCAGATAAGTTGGGGTTTTTTTCTGGTACAAACATTTATGCATGAAATTTTTCATTTTCTGTGAACACTTCCAACTTTGTAATCCCCTCTCCCCAAATCTACATGCCAGTAAAAGTCAACCATGGACACACTGCGTTTGCCAGAGGAAAACATAGACTAAGTATTAGCATGCAAAAAGCAATTCCATCTACAAAACCAAACAAACGTTCAGGAAATTTCTCTCCCTCTGTGCTGCCTACATACACACTGTAGAATAAAGGAAAACAGTGATCGATATTTCTATGTCTTTACTTCTGCCCTAAAGATGGGGCATAAGGGGCACGTGGCCTTGGTGCATCTCTCACATTACAGAAATGAACAGCACAGCCAGACTGCGACCCCTTTGCCCAGGGATGTACTAGGAAGTATCAACCACTTCAGCAGGTGGAGATTTGCAGTGTTTCTCCGCACTGTCACCGGGGAACCTCCCAGGTCCCCATCTGGGTCAACAGGAGGAAGAAGAGCAGCCCATCACTCTAAACACATATAGTACACAAGCACAAGAGAGGCAGCGATGCAGGGATGAAGCTAGCTGGAAGCAGTTTTTGACATCTGACATCTTTTTTTTTTCCCCTACAAAACCAAAAAGTGAAACTTGTTAGCCTGGTATGGAGGAGACCACTGTCTTCCCACCTCTTCCCCCACCATGCTCTCCACACACAGTTTCACTAGTCTAAAAAGGCTCCTTGCTTAACTGCTTACAAGTGAAAGGCCATGTAAATCTGGTTGTATCAACTAAAGTTGACAAAACACAGACAAATACTACAAGAAGTAAACATGGCAAGATCAGATTTTACACTGCCTTTATCAAACAGTTTTTTTGATACTTAAAAGTCACAGAATCACACAGAATCACAGAATGGTCAGGGTTGGAAGAGACCTCTGGAGGTCATCTAGTCCAACCCTCCAGCCCGAGCAGGGTCACCTACAGCAGGTTGCACAGGACGGCATCCAGGCAGGTTTTGAATGTCTCCAGAGTGGGAGACTCCACAGCCTCTCTGGGCACCCTGTTCCAGTGCTCCACTACCCTCAAAGTAAAGAAGTTCCTCCTCATGTTAAGATGGAACTTCCTATGTTCAAGTTTGTGCCCGTTACCTCTTGTCCTATTACTGGGCACCACTGAAAAAAGATTGTTCCCATCCCCCTGGCACCCTCCCTTTAAGTGCTTATAAGCATTAATAAGATCCCCCCTCAGTCTTCTTTTCTTTAGACTAAAAAGACCCAAGTCCCTCAGCGTTTCCTCATAAGAGAGATGTTCTAATCCTCTAATCATCTTTGTAGCCCTTTGCTGGACCCTCTCCAGCAGTTCCCTGTCTTTCTTGAACTGGGGAGCCCAGAACTGGACACAATACTCCAGATGCGGCCTCACCAGGGCAGAGTCCTGTCTGTCTGTTACAACCCAGTTACCATACGCACATAAAGTCAGATTTTTCTTTAAGACACGGCTTACAATCTCCTGGCACCACAAATGCTATAAGGCGGCCTACTCAAATAGGTAAGATTGCAAAGAAAAACGGGTTGGTTTTGGTATTAAGACCTACCACAACCATAACCCTTGTCTATGGACAAAGCAAACAAAAAAAGTCAGCATGTCACACGACAGATTGTATACAAGACCAGAATAAGCACACAAGTGTTTCTGCAAATACATGAGCAATGTTTTCTGCAGACCAATCTAACTCTTCAAATTTTTCCCCACCTTTATTAATAAGGATAGTGAGATTCAAGGAAGATTTACAGTGGGTGTTCAGACACACAGATGGGTGTGGTAAAAACACCTGTATTAACAGAGGGCTTAAGTGAATACAGTAGAAACATTTCAACACACGCTAATTTATTCAAGCTTCGTGAAAGTTCCTTCTAAGTGATCCAAAGCAAGTTACTACTTGGAAGCAATAAAATTCCAGAAGCTTTTTATTTGCTAAATATAACAGTCAGTTTTGGTTTTTTAAACTGTATTACAACGTAAGTACTATAAAAGCCAGTAAGTGTTTCACACCTGTCATTATTGTAACGTCAGCAATGACATTACACTTTGGAAATTTTTTTTCTGGATAGTGAGTTTAAATAGAGTGGTTTTGACAGTCTCTATTCCTCCCCCCCCAAAAAAAAAAAAACAAACCCAAAACAATGAGAGACTAGATCTGATAATCTAAACAGAATCATTCTAGGAAACAATTTGCATATTAGGTATGAACTAAGGAGTATGGATGGGTTCAATCCTTATGTCTCAAGTAAGTTTATAATAAGAATTTGTGTTCAAAGACTGCTAGGCGCAAAACATTTAATCTCAACGAATTAAGCTCCTTATGAAGAGCAAGCTCCAGTAGCAAGGTTTTGGTTCGATTACTTTTGAATCAAATGTTACTGATAGACATACAAACTGTTTGAGCCTTGAACCTTTTACCTATAAATATACTACATGAAAATGCCTGTTCTGCTGCTAACTTATTTTTGGGCTGGCAAAATAGAGGTTCAGGCATGTAAGAATCAAGACAGGAACACAATCAAGCTTGGCATCTCTATAAAGGTCTTTAAAAAGGGAGGTTTTATGGTATTTTAAATATTTTTATTTAATGTGCACTCCATACAATTTTATAGTTTATCACAGAAATCTATGTTAGTGATTAATTCATTCTTTTTTCAAGAGCTTGTTTAGAAAACGTAAGATTCCTTTAAGCTGCCAAGATGCTAAAATTAAATGCACGTGTAATGACAACTATAATATAACGAGAAACTTAACATCATTTCAGAATATATATTACGACATTACAGGTAATAGCGGGATTTCTCTCAGCATCAGTAAGTCACACCAAAGTTTCACTGTGATGGGATTGTTTGTTACGAACTTACTTCACCAGAAATACTTCTCGTGACAGAAAGGTTGTATATGCATATTGCCTTCTTAACAGAACAAAAACAAACAGAAAGCTATGTGACAATATGCCCCAAACCCTTTCACTAGTTGCATTAGGTGTTACCCCGGCATGATGTTAACGACGCACATCACAAACGGAATGTGTCAATTTGATTTGCCTACATTCACCACTAAACTTTCTCCTCTCGCAACTGACAGAACTGTGTCAGGCATGGCATATTAGCAAATACCATTCGCCTGGAATTTGCCTGGTCGTACTTACGGTACCAGAAAACCTTACGGCCCAAATGACCTATTATAGTTGGTTTTGTATAATCTGCATGGCTCAGCCTAATGTAAGATAATATTAGATGCTGGCGACTCAGTTGACTGTAGGCCATGCTCAGCAGTGAGAATGAAATAATAAAATGATACTTGAGCTAAAGTGAATGAACTCAAAGATCGTAACAGATCATTTCTCTCCGTGAGTGAAAATATTTTTCACTACAGTCGCCTATGATAATATAACATTTGAAGTTGACGCACGGATTTATGTGCTCATCTTCATGCAGAAGCAAGTGAAATGTTGCACCAAGAAGGGATGGGGTCCTTGAAAAAAATCCAATATGGCCACTGACGTGTAGTTGTCCTTTGACTTAAAATTGCCTTATCTTTTACCACGTCTGTCAGTCGCACGCATACACCTGTTATACTTCAAAAGAAGTTGACACAGTGACAGTCATCTGCGTGTATCCAACCTTGGAACATTCTTCACAGCAGAGAGATCCACATGCTAATAGACTACCCTGTCAAGGCCAAACCACAGTCATCCACAGCCACCAAGAGACAGACAGGTAGAGAGGTGTGCCAGCACTATCCACTTACCTTCTTTATTAAGCCTCATAACCTCCCTGCTTTTTCCACCCTCCTTTCCAGTCTCTTCTAGATCTACACCTGCAGAAGAGAAGCAGAGTCAGGAAGCGCCGAGGGCCCAGGGGCGTGCATTTATTGTTTGGCGGGGGGAGGAGGAGAGGTGAGGAGGTGAGCAGTGTTTCTATTTGCAACAGCAAAAGCACAATGGTCGGAGCATCTGCCAGGGAGCGGAACCGCCGGGCCCCCCGCGGCAGCACCCTCCGGCCCTCCCCGCAGCATCCTCCG